ATTATTACAACATAACGCATACAGCACAAGATATATATATATACACACACANCACACACACACAACGTTGTTTCAAGCCGTTTGTGTCTCTATGCTGATAATTTTTTAATCATGAAACCACGGTCGAGTCGAATTAGGAATAGAGCAGTTTTCGTTTCTTTTCTTTCTTTTTTTACCATTCGAGTTTTAAATTTGACGCGTCAACACATACGCGTAGTATACGTATACATATATATAAAGAAGAGTAAAGGAAGAAAGGGAAAGGAAGAGAACATACCTCAGCGTAAATGAGGAAGAGAGCGAAGAATGACGGCGGGAGCACGTGGTTCGACGCGTGGTTTATAGGATACATCAAGTTTCGTAAACTAGTTTCGATCTATGACAGAGATACGACCTCGAGAATGAAGATAAGCAGAAACTCGGACAGAAAGTTGCGGAATTTCGAGGTCAAAGATTGCGCGAGGTTGACGTACTTTTACGTATTCGCGCAGGTGACTCCTCTTCCTCCAGGCCAGGTTGTTCCCACACAAGCACGTGGCCATTTCGTCCTCTGTTCTCTCCATGAGGTCTGCCGTTGCCGTTCATTGCACGCTTGACACGCGCTCTACGCACACGCGACACGATACGGAAACGATATATCCGTTAGTTCGTTCGTGAATCGTTCGTGAATCCCGAGTACGAACGCTAAAGAAGATGATAGAAGCAAATACCAAGTTTCTGCAATTTCCGATTGGAGGATCCCCTGCTTCGAATAGGTTGTCGCGAAGCGAGAGAAGACACTGTGTATAAGTATATACTTGCGTGCCGCTTTCAACACAGAGATATAGAGTGGTTCGCTATGTTCTTCTTATTGGTAGTTGGGGAAAATCAACACTGTTGCGCGCAATCTTTCGGCAAACACCAGGCTCTTAGTTTGCACGATGACGACGACAAAGAAGACGACGGCGACAAAGATGATACCGCGATGATTCTACCAAAATACTTGTCCGGGCGTTACCCAACACTCACTGTGCGACAATAATATCGGTTTCTCGTCGCTATGAATCGGTTGACGGTTTCGTGGTACACCGATAACGATGATTAACAACGATCCCGTGATCAGAAGCGAGCACGCACCTGCCTCTTTCTCTTTTTCTCCTTCATGCTAGTTCGGTCGGTGTGAAGCCGGGAACCATGGAACCCAACGGGGAATGGCGGGGAGCGGTGAGACGAAGCGAATCGTCCGAGCAATTAGGTCTTTTCGACCAATCGTCGCGCGAGCATTGTCAATCCCTTCCTCCCGTTGGACGCACCAGCGCCATCTGACGTTCACAACTCGATTCCACCAATCGGAGAATTGCGCGCGAACGCACCTTCCTCTTCGCGCTGTAATTTCGAATCGCATCGTCGACAATTTTGCGATCGATTCCCCCCTCGCGACGAACGTCTCCCGAGAATATTTGTTCGAATTCCGTTCTGTTTTGCAAGGGTCCTTTACTTTTCCGACTTACGATATTCGCAATGTGTTTTCTTTTTTAAGTATAAATAAATATTTTATATATATATATATATATATATATTGGTCGAGACAAAATATTTTCGTCCTCAAGTATCTACGTAAGAAAATTACGTAATCGGAAAAAATTGTCGGCAAAATTATCGCTTTATTCGCCGCCTACGTACGATATGATTGCCATTGGTTATCTTAGCGATCAACGAGATATCATAATCTTCACGTAACCCTTGGAATTTCTTATCTTTCTGATCATGATGATATTTGAAAATGCTGTAATCGTGATCACGTCATGCACTGGATTATTACTATTAACGAGGATCTGTTGCTCAAGATCGAAAAAATATTATCATCTCTTTTTCTCTTTTTTTTTTTCGCTATCAGTCCAATGAATTTTCTGTGTATCATGATGAAACTTGAGAAGTTACGGTGAGTCATAATATCGTTAAGACGCTCGTATCCCATTTATTTAACAAAACATTGATTCGACGATTAACAACAAGGTCACGCCGATATTTCATTTACGAACGTAATTTGATGAAACGTTGCAAGCTTGTCGATGACTTTCACGTTTCGTGTCGAATGAAGTGTCACGTCATAGATTCCCCGAAATCGAACGAAGCGATATATTTACTTACGCTAGGGATATTTGAACATTTAAAAATTTGTATTAACCGCGTCATTGCGAGTTGCGAAAATAAAAGATACGCGATGGGTTATTGATAGCATCGTGGATATCGCGTGCCAAAAATCTATTGCATTACGAGCACGTGCGATAAGTGCGTGCGAAACACGCGTATCGAGTAGTATCGACTATTCGACACTCGAGTATTTCCCCGTCGTTTGTCCAACGATCGAACGAATTCGATTTTTGGACGTAATTATTACATCGACGATCATCGAAATAGAGAATCATGATTTTCGAGAAACACGTAACACGTTTCCATTTTTTATCGTATCGTTACGTAACGATTAGTACGATTTGAATTCAATAACGCGTCGATAAGGAAGAATCGACGCGTCTATTACCAACTATTGGACGAAACGGAAGTTCGTTTCGGACGAACGTCGGTCGGTAATAAAAACATAATTTTTTTTCGATCGACCAAGATATCTACGCTCGATAATTAAGAAAACAAATCAATCATGTATCGGATATAATTTTTTTCAAATTTTTGAATCGTTTCGATGGATAAACGATAGATAAAAATGATCGTTGACTCGATATAAAATAATTTCTTCCTCGGTATAAGCAAACTCGATGCAGTCGTTTATCTCGATATCAGGTATGCACCCGTGTGTGTCAACAGGAAACGCTTCGGCCCCTAAACGCGTTATTCACTTAGTAAAGTGGAAAATAACGTCCGCCTCGAGCGGAGAACGAAATAACGTGCACGCGCGAACGTAACTGCGCCGGAAGCTTTCGACGAAGCTCGAAATTGAAAGTAATGCGTCCGCTTTAGGGAAATAATCAAGGAAATGATTTCGTTTCGGAATACGAGTGTAAATCCTTCCTTCCTTCCTTCAATCCCCAATCTGCGATTTTCGCGATTTCGTTTTTCATCGTTCTATCGAACCAAATTTACGAAATAGGTCGAGATTCAAATATCTATACGATATATATAGTTGATATTTGCAATTGGAAATCGCACATGATCATACACACCTGTTTCCATCGACACGAGGGAAACAGAGAATTTTGATTCGCGCTATCAAGGATCGATCATACGACGATTATTGGAATTCCGCGCCGATTCCTCGCTCTACCGATCAATTGTTTCCGCCTGGTTGCCCCTTTGCTATTGGTTACACTTTTGTTATTCGTTCGCTAGTTCGCTCGGAGAAAACACGATTACGGAGGAGAGCGCGGGTAATGTTTTATTCACAAGAACTAGACATGGGAGCGACCGCGTTGTTGAAGCGAATAAATGCCTGTTCCTTCTTCGTCGAGTGTTATCGAATCGAAAAGATAATCGATTACCGCTCGGTTACCGACAGATCATTAGTCCCGAGATTATTTTAAACATTATTCGAGGATTAGAAATCGGAAAAGCACGGAAAGTGGAAAGTTGAACGAAAGCGGCGGTTCCATTCCAGCGAAGGCAAAATTGATCGGGAAAGTTTTTTCGCATATTTTTCGCCAAACACCTACGCTCGCTTGTTATGGTTATAACAATTTTCAAACCGGATCGAACGAGTTATCTATCGGTGCCCGTCCATTCCGGTTTTCCTCGTGTCCTACATCGTTTCGAGGCTCGCGACTCGTCGCGCGCATTTTCGCAACTGCAAGAGCGAGGGGTGAGGGCGAGTAGAATAGATCATCGACTCGATAGGAAGACTATTTATCTATCGTTCGCGAATCCACTTGATTCGCCTTTGTTTCGAAATTCGATGTCCACTTTTAGATAATTGTTCCATCGTTGCTCGCACGTGCGACGATTAGAAAAGAAACGAGACCACGCCGCGTGCGACTATCGTCGAGACGTATCGTAGAAACAAGAACGGATAAGATATCTCGGATCCTTGTAATTGAAAAATAAGAAAGAAGTCGCGATAATTGGTAAATACGCGAATACGTGATCACGTTCCAAAGTCCATTCGAAAGATTCGAAAGATGGAGAGGAAGAAAAAGAAGAAAATCCGGAAAAAAGAGAATGAAACGCGTCATACCGGGGGGTTTTTTCCTCGATCGATCCCCGCGATTCGAAAATATCGGCCTTGATCGCATCTGGACCGTGTGCGATATCCTTGGAACACGGTCGAGTCGTTACCGCGGTAACGAGCATAGCTCTGCACCGCTCGTTCGATCGAACGTAATCCGCCTTTGTGTATCGCGTCGAGGATTAACGCGAAAAACGATAAAACCACGGTCGCGTATCTTTTTCTTGGAAAGGAAAATTTATTTCGAGCGACACAATAGCGCGACTCCCCCTCCCCCCTTGCC